TGACTATGCCTCTCGACTACACGTAAGAGTGACCTTTCGCCGGAGTGACCTTTGGTGCGGGCCCAATGGGGCCCCCCGATCGCCGAACGCGATGCGGTAGTTGCGTCTCGCGCGCTCGTTTTTGATCCCCCCCGCGGCCTCCAAAAAGCCGCGCACCAAAGGTCACTCTTACCCAGGGTCACTCTTGTGTGTAGTCGAATGCCGACGACGACGCCGATGACGACCAACAAGATGTTGGTGATGCGGATGATGATGATGATGCTGAAAAGTACGATGACGATGATGGCGATGGTGATTACGATGCTGATGATAATGGTGATAATGATGATTGTTGTGATGGTGATGGTGAAGATGACCATGAGCATGACGATGACGATGAAGATGACGGGGATGAGGATGACAATGATGACGATGATCATGACCCCAGCTAGAACTTGAGCGCGCGCGAAGTTCGCGCGATGGCTCTAGGATACACATATATATATATGTATCATTCATATACATGTATATATAATTGGGCAACAGCTGTGGTTGTGTCTGTGTGGGCCAATAGATGTTGGTAATTACGGGTGCGCAATCTATGTGGTGCAGTCAGTCGACGTGGTGCAATACGCATGTGGTCAAACTTACACACGTTGTGCAATATGTGTGTGTGTAAACATACGTATATCGTATATAGGCTGGTACACATACATATATATACATATATATATATATATAAATGTATATATATATATATATATATATATATATATATATATATTGTAGTGGCCTTCGGCCAGTGCCGCCGATCCGGAGCGCTCCGACTGATGTGATCCTCCTTCGCCCTCGTCCCTCCTCTCTTTTCCCTTCCTTGCCCCTCTCATTCCGCATTTATCTAAGACGCCTACGGCGAATCACCGCCGCCCCCTGCCTTTTTGGAAGCGCCTATGTGGCCGAACGTTGAGGCCAGACCTGCCAAGCTATCGGACCACGTGTTCCCCGAATCGGTTTGGAAAGCCTTCGGGGAACACGTGGGCATCTTGAAGGTCATCTTGGCCGTCTTGGAGGCCTCTTGGGCAAGCTTTGGGCGATCTTTGGGGCTTTTTGGGCCGTCTCGGGCCAGCTTCGAGCCAACTTCGGCCATCTTGGTGGGTTCCTGGCACGTCTGAAGCCGTCGGAAGCCGTTTGGGGGGCCTCTATGGGCCGACTTGGGGCCCGCTTGGAATGCTCCAGGGCCGTCTTGGAGGCCATCTTGGGCGTCTGGGAGGCCATCTTGGGCGTGTTGGAGGCCTCTTGGGCCCTCTTGGGGCCCTCTAGGGGCCATCTTGGAGGCCACTTGGGCCATCATGGGGCTCTCTTGGGGGCCTCTTGGGCGATCTTGGGGGCTTCTTGGGCCGTCTCGAGCCGTCGGAGAGCCGAAAAGGCGCAAATGCCAGAATCCTTCAAAAACCAATGAAAAATCAATGATTTTGGCCTCTTCGGACTCTCCTGGAGGACCTCTTGGAGGCCTCTTGGGCCGTCTGGGAGGCCTCTGGGGGGCCTCTTGGGCCGTCTTGGGCCGTCTTGGACTCTCTTGGGCCGTTTTGGAGGCCGTCTTGGACCATCTCGGGCGGACTTGGAGGCCATCTTGGGCCATCTTCGCGATTTTTTGAGGATGTCCCGAGCGAAACGGCCGTTTTTTGGAGGATGTTTTTCCGGATTGAGGTCCTTTCGGCTTCCTCCCGGGACCCCGGCGGGACGGGCCGAAGCCCACTGGGGAGTTCTTTTAGAAAAAGAACCAAAACCAAAACCTGAATCATCCAGCACGCCGTGCACCCCTGCAAGCAGGGGGCGGCGGATCCAGTGGCCTTCGGCCTATCCCGCCACCGTGCGTGGGTGGTGGGTCAGAGGCCTCATAGACGCTGGTTGGGATCTCGTGGTTGGCTGGGACCTCTGGGGGCCTCTTGGGGGCCTCTTGGGGCTTCTTGGGGGCCTCTTGGGCCTCTTGGGGCCACTTGGGGGCCTCTTGGGGGTCTCTTGGGAGTCTCTTGGGGCTTCTTGGGGGCCTCTTCTGGGCCCCTTGGGGCCTCTTGGAGGTTTCTTCGGAGCCTCTTGGTGCGGGAGGGGTGGCACTCGAGTTCGGAACTCCTTCGGAGGCCACGATCCTTGTGAGGGGTGTAAAAAAACGCATCCGCCGGAAACTCGCACCCCCCCCCCACCCCACCCCCCCTTCCCCGGCAGAGCCACCCCGGCACCCCCCCCAGAGGCTGAGGCTCAGCCTCGAAGCTGTAGCTGAGACTCCTTGAGACTCACACGCCGGATCGACGGATATATATATATATATATATATATATATATATATATGTATATATATATCGTGCAACCTGGGTGGTGCAGTGCATATATGTGTGTGTGTGCTTGTATGTGCAGTTTAGATTATTGTCCAGTATGTGGTGTGAAGTCTACGTGGTACAACCTATGTGATACCATGTAGTTGGCGCGATGTGTAGTGCAATTGCCTTTTTGCAGTTCAGTTGGCAAGTTCCACGCCCTTGAAAACATCCCACCCACCCAGCCACAAGTTGGTTTGCAAAGCCCATGCGGCGGCGAGTGCGATGAGTGGTCGGCGTCGGCGCTGGCACGCGCATGCTCGCGCGCAGAGCTGCCAGCTAGTTTGACGCGACCGACGCAGCTGCGGTGGCGCTGACCGCTGGGCACTTCCCTGCGGGCACTTCACTGCGAGTCGATGAGTTGGGCGGGCGCGGTATCATGGCGACGCTGACAACGGTAGACATGATTATGAGAGTAGCGATGATGCTGACGGTGGTGGCGATGACGACGGCAAGGCCAATGAAGGCGCCGATTTTGATCACGTCTTCGCGTCGGCGATGAAGGTTTTTGCATCCCACAAGACCGCGAGCGCCGGATTGTTTTGAAAATAAACGTTGCAAATCCATGTGTGTTGGTTCGTGTTCGGGACATTCGTTTTTGACATCCTTGCGAAGCCTGAGGTTTTCGAAGGATTTCGGCATGCGCGCGCGACGACGCGCGCGTGCGCAGTTCGTCACAATTGTTGCAAGTGAGTCTTGTGACAGCGCGCGCGCAAAGGCGCTCGATTGATTTCGGCGCTCCGGCGCGGAAGGCCCGCCTTATGGCAGCATTTTATGAATAGCTGACGACTATGACTTGTTCGTCTTTTCCAAATACAGAAAAGCAAATGCGCGGGCGCACGTTGTTTTGGTTGTGGACAGTTTTTGTTGCAAAAGCATGCGTTGCCATATGCGCTCGCGACCCTCGATCTTGCAATCTCTACGAAACTTGAGGTTCTCTCTCTATATATATATATAGATGTATACACACATATATCTATATACATATATATATGTATGTATATATATATATATACATATACATATATATATATATATATATATATATATGTATACATATATATGTATATATTCGGCCTGCGCGCGACGACGCGCGCGTGTGCATTTCGTCCGTGTTTTTTTTGTTTGTTGCAAAGGATGTTTGAAAACGGTTGATTTAACGAAGGCGCGCGCATTGTTTTTGCAGAGGATGCAGGGGGGGCACGCGCCGGCCTGGCTGGGATGGTATGAGTTCGTGGGGAAAATGAATCCCGAAATGGAACCATATGTAAATTGCAATGCGCGAGAGCGGCAAGGTATGTCCGGGTGGGTGGTTGGGGTCGGATCGAGGTGTTTTAAAAGAGAAACGCTAACGTGTGTCCATATATGTGGTGCAATCTATGGGTGGCGACGGGGCGGCGACGGCGGCAATATAGCCGTCAGACCGACAGGTATGCCCAGACGACGGGCGGGGACGAGGCAGCGACGGGCGAAGACACGGCGCAGCTTCTTAGAACAGAAGTAAGAAACCCCAAGAGCAAGGACTGTTTGGGCAATTTCATTGTAGGCCTATTGGACTCCCGGGGCGGTCGGCCCCTGCTCAAGGGGAGGGAGGACTGTCTGACCGACTGGCTAGTCGTACACCCGGTGGTGTGTGGACAGGAATGCGCCGCTAAGTTGATGAGCGTGGGGCTCTTTTCAATGTGTGGCCCCACGCCGCAAGCGAAGACACAACGTTGGCGGCATTCTCATTGCTTCCAAGAATGCGACCACAATGATTCAGTATTTCCAGCACGAGCTCTTTGTAGGGACCTCCGGTGACGAGGAGAGGGGAGGGGCAGGGGAAGGGGGGGGGGAGGGGGGGGAAGAGAGGGAGGAGACGGGGACGACAGCGAGGATGAGGAAGGAGGGGGAGGGAGAAGGGGAGGGACAGGGAAGGGAAAGGGAGAGGACAAGCTAGGTGCGCTCGCGCCAGATCTGACATCCTACCCCTCCCACCCGTCCCTTCCCATGGCGCTGTATGTCCTCTATCCGAGGATGCGTGTCATATCGGACCTGGAATTGCGAGAAGGACCCAATCGTGTTATGCGCAATCGAAAATGGGGAGCTACGCACATTGGAGGAGAAGCTGGCGGCTGAGAAGGATGATGAGCACCCTTTTCGGGCTCCCCCCCCTCCCGCAGATTTCAATCACTACAACAGTGGAACTCGAAAGGAGCAAGTGTAAAACTACAACTTGGAACGGAAGCGGGTGCAGGGAACATGACAGCCCAGGCCACACAGCCTGTTGGCCTCCAAGAGTGCAGGCGGGCCTTTCGTAGCCTGAGCGCACGAGGTTTTTTTCATTCAAGCCAATAGAACTAACTACTAGCGTTCTCCGAGATGGAGATGCTGCCACTGTTGCCGCAATGCGTAGTTCGATTATTACACCATATCGTATCCCCACGCGTGTTAATTTTCCGATCCGCACGCGTACTCGTAGCTTGAAGCAGTGTTCACAATAGTGCTGGTTTCCGCGTGCCTGTTTTGTCCATGCCCCAATGTGGTACCAGATCAGAGAGTGATTCCTTATGTGTCTCCTACTCATGCCCCCCCTTCCTCCCGCCCTTCGATGTTCCTTCTGGCTGTCAGTGCGTGTGCCGCGGGTGCGTCGGTCGGCCGGACCGCCAGGTTGACACCGTGTCGTTGCTTCCCGAGTCAGGCTTGCGCCGAATGAGGGACCAGGAGAGTTGGCGAGGCTTTCGAGGCATGGCGCTGGGACGTGGCAAGAGCAGATGTCGGTGAGGATTGGCTTAAGACTTCCACAGCCAGAAGCAATCACAATCGTGCCTCAAGCTGGCCGAGGTTCGCCTGAATCGTAGTCGACAGCTCGTTTGAAAGCATGTTTATTTGCTATTCGTGGTCAGGTCCTCGATTCTTGTGGGGCGGCGCCCTCTACCTTAGTCGCCGGGGATGCTGGTGTGGGGCCCCGGAAGGATGCCGACATGGTCGCGCGTTTGCTTATTGTCTAGGACGCCTGGAGTGGCGACACCGCCCCCCCCTGGCATTGAGACGCCAGGCCTCTGCCGACTAATCTGTCAGAGGCCTTTGTAGCCTGCCCGAGCGTCACCACAGTGAATATTTGACGATTGCAGAGCGATCGGGCCCTGGGCTCTCTCCTCGGTTGTCAGGCCACCCTCACTTGTGTCCAGCAGCACACCAGTCTTCGATGTTTTCATACAAAGCCACCAGGGGGTATGACGGGGGTCCCCTTTCGTGTTTTGTTGTCGCAGCATGTGCGCGCCATCATGTTTGCACTCCTGTAGGCTATCCTGAAGGCTATCTTTGCTTTTTGCACACGTCCTAAGTGGGGGTATTGTTTTCTCGGTTTACCCCGCGCAGCAACACACACACACACACTTCAGCCTCGCCTCCTCTCTTCCTTTGACACGCACCATCGCCATCACCCCACCAGCATCGTCATTATCACCATCCCTTCATGACCACCGAGCATCAGCATCACCATCGTCATCGCCATCGCACACACACTCTCTCTCATGCATTCCCTCACTCACTCCAGCATCAACTCACATACATACCTCCCGCAGTCCGCACTCACTCACACGCTTATTCACACAATCACTCACACACACACACAAGATTGCAGAGGAAATCTCGAGCGGGAGCCTCGTCTGCGAGTCAGTTGCGAGGAAGTCTCAGGCGGGAGCCCTGTGAGCAATCTCACCATGGGGTCCGCACTTTGTACCAGTAATCCGAGGCGGCCATACAGACACCTACCGAACGCATGGTATTGTGATCGTCGAGTCGCCAGAATTCCATTCCCATCACTGATTCCAAGTGTCTGGAGCAAACTGTAGGCCACGTCGTGCTCGTCGTGCTCCCAGAACTCAACTCCTAGGCTTCGTGTTCCGTGTCTGGAGCGAACTGTAAGACACTTCGGGCACTTCGTGCTTCCAGAAATCCACTCCTGGGACTGATTTTGCAAATCCGGAGCCATCTGACGGCCACTTCGGATTTTTGTTTTCCAAGGGCCCCGCTCCTGGGACTGATTTTGCTCGTCTGGAGCCAACTACGCCTCTTCGGCTCTTCGTGCTCCTGGGATTCCGTTCCCAGCATTGATTTTGAGCGTCCAGAGCCACGTGTAAGCCACTTCGGGCTCTTCGTTCTCCCAAAGTTCCACTCCTGGGATTGGTTTTTGAATGTCCAGAACCATATGTAAGCCATTTGGGGGCGTTCGTGCTTTCAAAGTTCACCGCTTGGTCTTGACTGTTCGTTCGAATCCTGGCACCCTTGGCATCCTGGCATCATGGGTATGTTTGGCATCCCTGGCATCCGAGCATCCCTGGCATTGAGGCACAAGCCCCGCAGTCATGACAGTCTCACAGGTCCCACAGGGCCTGCAAGTCGCACGCGCCCCACAGGTCGCACAGGCCCCACAGGCTTCACAGGTTTCAGAAGTCCCACAGGTAGCACGAGTCGCACAATTCCCGCAGGAGTCACAAGTCCCATACACCCCACAGGTGGCACTCGCTCCCATAGCTCCCACATGCCGCGCAGATCCCACGTGTTCCACAGGGCCCACAGGTCGCACGAGTCCCACATGTTCCACAGGTCCCATGGATCCAGCATATCACACAGGCTGAACAGGTTGCGCAGGCATCCTGGGATCCTGCGATGCTAGCATCCTGGCACCTTCGCATCATGGAAGTCCTGGCATGCTGGGATCTTGCCATCCTGTCAACCTGGCGTCCTGGCCGCCTGGCATGCTGCCCCCCCCCCCCTCGGGCATCCGTAGCATCATGTCATCCTGACGTCCTGGTATCTTGGCGTCCTAGCATCACCTTCATCATTAGCCGTCGGTTGCCACGCACATGTGCACCAATGGAATTATCATGTGGGGTCATACCGCCAGCGTCAGATCGAGGGATTGTTTCGTGTCCTGGCTGACGTATCGAAGACACTTGCGGCGAATCACCGCCACACCTTTAGGAAAAGCCCGCGCGGCCAAACGCTGAGCCGCAGCCTGGCCAAGCAATTGCATTACGTGTTCCCCCAGCCGTTGTGTAACCCCTTGGGAGAACGCTTGGGAGAGGAGGAGGAGGAGGAGGAGGAGGAGGAGGAGGAGAAGAAGGACGAGGAGGAGGATGAGGACGAGTAGGAATATGAGGAGGAGGAGGACGAGGAGGAGGAGGAGGAGGAGGAATAGGAGGAGGAGGAGGAGATGAGGCAGGAGGAGGAGAAGGAGGACGAGGTCGAGGAGGCGAAGGAGGAAGAGGAGGAAGAAGAAGAATAATAATAATCATACCTCTTTGGGCCTCCTTGGGGCTTCCTGGGAGCCTCGAGGGGGCCTCTGAGGGCCTCTTGGGGACCTCCTTGTGCCTCGAGGGGGCCTCGAGGGGACGAACCTCTTGGCCTTCGGAGGCCGTCTTGGGACCCTCAGTCGTGGGTCCCTCTTTGGGCGAGTTAGGGCCGTCTTGGAGGTCTATGGGGCCGTCTTGGGGGCCCTCTTGGGCCGCCTTGCTGGCCTCTTGGGGACCTCTTGGGCGGCGGAGCTTTCGCCTTTTGCATATGCTTCTCGCTTGGGAGACGCGTATCCCCTCGACCCGCCTCGTGCGTTCCGTTCATTAGTCTTGCCCGCCCCTGTTCTGCATCGCCAGGCTTCTTGACACCAGGTTGCTACTACATCGCCTTACCACGTGCTTGACAAGGAAGCGCATTTCGTTGCTGGGATCCCACAAGTTTGACCGCTGGTTCGACTCTCTGGCGCGTCGGAGGGAACGGTTTGTGTTGTGTGTTCGGGTCTGTGAGAAACGTTGAATAACATCCTAACTCAGAGCGACATCGACCGTGCACTGTCAGTCTTGGTGTTCTCAAAGGGCAGCTGATCCGTGATAATACCTCGTGGGCCAGTACTGGTTCACCGCCAGTAGATTCGTCCAGAGTGTAATATAGACGAGATAAACAGGGAGGGGGAGAGAGAGATGGAGAGAGAGAGAGAGAGAGAGCGAGAGAGAGAGAGGGAGAGCAAGAACGAGAGAGAGAGAGAGAGAAAAATAGAGAGCTCATCCATGCGAGCAGGATGGAACCGACGACGACGTAGGAGAGGGGCAACAGGGGGATCCCGTAGAAGCGGTACGAGAAAGACGCCGACATGGGGATCGCTTTGGGCTTCAGAGGTGTTACGGTCCTCGGGCCGCTCCCGAGATCCAGGCAGGGGGGGACGCTTCGCGGCCCAGGGTCGCCGCGGCCAGACAGGCCCATTTCCGTTCTTCTTTGATGGGCCTGTTTTCCACCACCACCACCATAAGTTCGAGGGGGGAAGGAGGAGGAGGGCGAGGAGGAGGAGGACGAAGAGGAGGAGGAGGAGGAGGAGGAGGAGGAGGAGGAGAAAGAAGAGGAGGAGGAGGAGGAGGAGGATGAGGAGGAGGACCCCCCCTCCAACTCATGGTGGTGGTGGAAAAACGCCCATCATTCTTAACTCAGCACCCCCCTCTTGGAAGCGCGGGGGCTGCAGCAGGAGATCACCGAAGCCGCCGGATCGCCAGGCTCCCACCGCGAGAAGCTCGGGGTCCCGTGCCTCGCCCCCGCGGAGGCCGCGTGCCCGCGCCCGCGGCCCGCGCCCGCGGCGCCAGCGGCGGCATGCAGCGCGCCGGCAGTGCAGCCGCCATTGGTGCGGGCGGCGAGCCCTGGGCACGGAGCTGCTAAAGGTACCCCTGGCCCCCCAAGTTGCCCCCAGCTTTTCGCTCTGTTTGGGCCCCTGGGGCCCTCTGGGCGTCGTGAGGGGTGCTCTGGAGGCCATGGGGGCCTCCCCGAGAATCCTGGGGGCACCTTCGGCCAGGGGCAGTTCTAGCAACACCCGACCTGGGGAGGGAGTGGGAGGGGGCAGGCCTTCGGAAGGCGGCGTGGGCTTCTCAGAAGCCCTCGCGCCTTCTGAGAAGCCGCCTCTGTCTTCGGAGACAGCTCAGAAAGCTTCTAGGAGGACGCGGGAACTTCTGAGAAGCCCCACCACCTCCTGAGAAGGCCTGCCTTCTCTAACTTCCCCCAGGGGGCTCGTCGCCGAGAATGGCTACGAAGACCGGCAGCAATTTCTGCCAGTTTTGAACCAGGCTCACTGTCTGCGTCGCCGCGGGCGTCGTCGATTTGAGGCAGAAGTCCGCATGCCCAACATCGCTCGCTGTCAGTTTTGGGTTGCATTTGTTGTTGGACATCGTACCTATTTGTTCCGTACCCATGGCGGGCGTGCCAAGAAGTCGCTATGAAGCGAACGCGTCTTAGGTGGACGCCAACGATACCACCACCACACTGGCCCTGGCCAGGCCCATCCTGGGCTACAGGACGGGTGAAAAAGAGCGCAGCAGCAACGATTCGCCCGGCCAGGATCGGTACAGCGGGTGCCCTCCGATCCTCGGGTGTGCTTCCCCGTTTTCGGGCTCCTGCCTCCCTGGGCCCTGGGACCGTTAGACAACGAGTCAGGACGAAGATCGGGTCCCCGGGGAATCCCGTGGGGTCCAGGGCCCTTTCCCTCAGTACGAGTTTCCTTAACGGTTGCGAAGGAAAGGTCGTCGGGGGTTGGTAGACCCCACCCTTGCCAAGTCGGTCCACGAATCCGCCCGCGAGGTCCCTGTATGCCTTCTCGACGAGGGGATGCTGCAGCCGCCATGCCTGCGAGCCTGCGCACGCGGCGTTTGGTGCCCAGGCGATTCTTCACGAAAGGTTGTGCAAGGTGGCTCTGTCCACCCCCGATGCTGAGTCGCCCCCCAGGGGCGCGAAGGTAGCCGCGCTTCGCGCGTCGCGGCTGAGCTGGCGAGCTGCCATATTGTCCAGGGTGGCATCGCGAGGACGCGAAGATGACCGCGCGTCGTGCATCGCAGGGCGCGATGCGCGAGCTTACACTAGGAAAGAGGTTCTGAGTGAAACACGGGCCTTGCACCCGACGGATTTCCCAAGGACCAGCTCTTCCTCTCGAGTCGTTCTTTCAAGGTCCCCAGGCCGTTTCCATCAGGATGCGTTCCCTTCAGGGCCTTCAGGGACGACGAGCAAAACCCAAAAACGACGAAGAACCTCCAGGACCCGTTTCCCTCAGGACCCGCTTCCTTCATGTTTAAGTGTGAGTCCTGTCTTTGGCCGGCCCTTTGAAGGGCTCCAGCGGGCGTGCCCACACGGAGCCTAGAATTGCCCAGCCGCATGTAGTTCGCTCTACATGGATGCCCCACTTAGGGCCCTGGCGAGCATGGCCTCGCAACGGGCCCACAACCAGAATGATTGCCACCCCTTCGTGCGTATCCTCTCCATCTCCATATCTCCTTCTTGGATTGTTTTTAGGCCTTTGGGCGTTGGTTCGAGGCCAGCCAAAATCTTGCCACTCGGACTCACCAAGCTGCCAAGCTCGCTCCTCTTTCAACGCAGACACAGGCGATCAGGGATTGCGCACGACCTTTGCGGGAGAGATGGCCACGCACGCGTAATGCGACCGCGCATCTCGCTTGTCCGAGGGGGGGCCCCGCTAGGGCCTAAGCGGGTGTCTCCACATACTGCCCGCCCGTGGCGTTTCTGGGTACGCCTCACGCTCGGCAGCCAAAGCCCGACGGGAAGCCCGAGACGGCGGCGCAACGACACTCTGATTGGCCTGACGCGGCAGCAGGTTGGCCCGAAGGTCGGAGCGACAAAACAGCGCGGCTGGCGCCGCTCCCCCCTCCAAGCCTCCGAGCTGAGCGACCCTTCTCTCTCTCCACCTCCTCCCTCCCCCTCCTCCCTCCCCCTCCTCCTGCACCCCCTCTTCTTCTGAACATTTCCTCCCCTGTCACACAAAAGCAGGCGTGTCCGCAGGCCGGGCCCGGCGTTTCGCTTGAGGCTTCCCTGCGCATTGTTCAAAAACGGTCGTTTCGGTGTTCGAGTTCGCGAGGATCTCGCCATAGCTGCTTTGGCATGGGCCTGTCCGTCGAGCCTGCTCCGGGCTTCCTTGCTACTTGCAGGGCCCCCGCTGTTCCAGACCACCTCGGTTCGGATCATTGGCGGAACCCGCTCGCGGAGCCTCTCGACTCCACCTGGTTTTCTTCGCAGTTGGCCGACAGGTTCTCCATCTCCCGCGCTGGCACCAGGGTTGTCATGCCCTTGAAAGATCTCGTTGTTGCTGCTGCATTCCTATATGTTCGTAAAGGTATACGTAAAGAGGGTTGCTGAGGACGGCTCGCCCGCTTGGAGAGCAGCCATCAATGGTCTATGCGAAGTTCCTGGTAGCTCGGAGAGCTAAGAGGATTTCATATTAAGAAGCCGGAGCCGCACGGTAGCCCCGGAGATCGTGTTGGCGTCCTTGTTCCAGCGCCGGAGCGTCCTGCTTGAATTCGCAGCGTGTTCCGGCAGGCCTTTTTAAAAACGTTTCCCAATACGCGTGCCCCGAAACTCTCCACAAGGTCCTTCGGAAGCTCTTTCCAGGTCTGTCCAGGGTTCTTCGCCAGGCCTTTCTACGCCCTTCTCGCGCCCTGCTATCCGGGTTTGGGACTCCACATGTGTAGGTATGGAAGAAGGTACCTAGACGAGAGATGCTCGAGAACGGCAAGAAGGCAGTGACCCTGAAATGGATCGACACGAACAAGGGCGACCGAACTCAACCACGGTATCGCTCGAGGCTGGTCGCGAGGGAGATTGAGAAAACTATGGGGTCCGAAGATCGACCAGATCAAGCCGAACTGTTCTCGGCCATGCCACCGCTGGAGGCGTTCAAGGCGATGGTGACCATCTTCGTTGGCCGCGTGAATGACGCCTACCACGACGGCGACACAGAGGATATCATTTACAACTTGTTCGACATTTCGAGGGTGCACTTCTATGGAGATGCGAATCGCGAAGCGCATGTGGAGTTACCCGAGGAGGAGACCCACGACGATCCAGAACCCATGGTGGGCAGGCTACTCAAGACAATGTATGGCACAGTGGATGCAAGTCATGTGTGGCAAGACGACTACATCGGCCTGACCAGCTCGCCCTGCTTCAAGAAGGGCGTCTCGAACCCAACGCTGCTGTACCACGCCGAGCGTCATATACAGGCGGAGGTCCACGGCGACGACTTTGGTGTGATTATGCGCAAGTCCCAGGAGGGGTGGTTCGATGACGTGTTTTCGCGCTACGACTTTAACGTCACGGGTATTCTGAGCAGCGTGCCCCTGAAGGAACAGAGCGCGGGCTATCTCAACCGGGTGTTGATATGGGACCCCTTCGAGCGCTCGGCCTACCTCGAAGCGGACGCCCGGCACGTGAAGAAGGTGATCAGGGACGTGGGCTTGGAGAATACGAAGGAGGTGACTACCCCGGCTGTCAAGAGGTCTGTCGCGGAGATCCTGAGTAGTAACCAGACCTCGCCGAAGTTGGACGACGAGAAGGTGAAGACCTACCGCGGCGTGACCACGCGGATCATGCACCTGGGTCTGGGCCGGCCCGACACCAGCTACAGCGCGAGCGTGCAGGCTAGACGCATGAAGGAGCCGAAGGAGACCCACGTGGAGGATTTGAAGCGCATCGGCCGCTACTTGAAGAAGTACCCCGCTGGGAGGTTGCTGCTTCCCGCTCAGAGGCTGCCTAGAAAGGTTTGTGTTTACTGCGACAGCGACTGCGCGGGTGATCCGATTACGAGGCGTTTCCGAAGTGGAATGGCCATTCTATGGGGAACGCATATGCTGAAACATGGCAGCACGGTCCAATCCACGGTGAGTTTGAGCAGCGGCGAGGCCGAGTACTACGCACTACTGCGTGGAGCCTGCCACGGTTGTGGAGCACAGGCCACTTTGGCCGACCTTGGAGTCGAGAAGGACTACGAGATGGAGCCTTATATCTTCAGCGATAGCTCAGCCGCGAATGGAATTTCAAGCCGACAGGGACTGGGAGCTGTTCGACACTTGGATGTTCGATTCCTGCGGCTGCAGGAACGCATCCAGAGTGAAAGGCTGCTGCTGAAGACAGTCGATGGGCACTGGGGCCCGGCGGACCTGTTCACGAAGGCCCTCGGCCAAGACGCGATGCAGCGGTTGATGAAGCTGATCTGCTTCGCGATGAAGTTCGACGGTAGCGCGAGGCACCGCGTGCTGCGATGCATGGCGCCGGCTGTTTGCCAGCGCGTGTCTCGTGAAAAATTGGTCGAGGCGCTGGTTTCGCTTTGGGCTTTCGCCCGCCGCCTCCGCCCAGCCGCGGCGACGAAGGCCGAGGAGGGGTGTTTGGATGTCTAGGGCCAGCGCCCTGTTTCGGAGATCCCCTGGAACTTAAGTGAGTTTCGGGTTTGATCTAGAAGTGGAGTTTAAGAAGAGAGAAAGACCAGAGGTGATCCAGAGCTCTGCATGTAGCCCATCGTGGGTCAAAAGATAGACAGAACATAGCGACGGTATCCATGAGTTTATAAAGGGTACTACTGCCGTGTATCGTGACAGTCGCATGCTAGTGAGTTTTAACAGCTCGAAGCCGTGCGTGGTTATGTCGTGCCGGGGTGTAAAACAAGGGTGCCCCCCTCAGTGGTCTACTATTCAGTCTCTGTGTTGATCCTGTAGTTCATAAACTTCAGACGCTCTCGCTAAGCACTGCCATTTCCTACGACGCGTTTGCCGATGACCTGGCCGCGGCAGCAAGCGACATGACCAGTGTGCTCCCGCGCCACTGTTGGCCCCTGGCGGCGAGCGGGGGCGGCGCAGATCTTCTTTTGAACGCGAAGAAGTGCCAGCAGGTATTCCTTGATGCTGCCACCTGTGGGAATGCTCTTCAGCTTCACCGCGAAGATGGATTTCGAGTAGGCCGCGTTCGGATTTCCAGATGTGGGCGGCATCTTGGGGTGGGAGCTGGCATTGATTATGCTGAGCTTTCCTGGGGCCCCGTCTTGGCGAAGTTGAAAGAGGGGCGCTTTAGGATCAAATCCATTGGTCTCGGGCTTTCCAGCAGCGTCGTGGCGCATAACGCCCATGGGCTCCCCGTGGTTTCCAACGTGGCCCAAGTTCACCGCCCAGGCGCGCTTGCACGTCGAATTGAAAAAAAGATGGGCTGCAGTTGCTCACTTGCCCTCCCAGGCACAGCTTCCCCCCGAACTCCATTTTTCGACCTGGAGAGTATGGGGCGCATGGTGGGGGCCCGCAGGTTGGAGGCCTACGCTCGCGCTTGCCTAATCCGATCTACCACGAGAAGCCATAATGTTGCCCAGTTTTCGACCGTCCTGGACTCCTGGGGCCTCTGGGATGAAGTGTGCATTGCCTTTGCCGCACAGGCAGATGAGTGCCCAGTCGATCGCGTTGCAGATGAAGGCTGAGTATGACAGCTCTTATCGCGTTCACCCTCCCCATGTTGATGTGCCTGCCAAGCGATTGCAAGCTTA